AAGCGGCTTAAGCTTCTCAGTGCTGCGCTTTAACCCACTGCACCACCAGGGAGGGCCCATGCACAAATAAATCTCTAAAAAAAAACAAAACAAAAACCCAAATCTGTATCTTTAAACTACTTGCCTTCAAACAACCATCTTGGAAAGTAGGAACAATTATCACATATTTGCTGCTTCTTATTTAGGAAGGTTCTATGAGATCTAGGAGTGACCAAATCAAGGTGTATAAAGAACACTGCCCTTTCGTTTGGTCCCAACTGGACCCCTGAATAATGACAGTCTATACCTTATTAGGAAGGAAAGCAAAAATCTTACCTTGACAAAATGATGGCTAGCTGACCAAGGTGACAAGTGAAATCTATAACCTAAGAAAAGAGTAAGTGTAAGAGTAATTAATGTCTTAGGATAGTGTCAATCATATTAGAATACCACGTCATCACTTACCACTTGATGTAACAAAAATTTCCAAGAGCCATGTGGTTCTGTTAAGAAATATCTGGTATTCACTGCTATCTCAATGAAATAGATAGTTCTTTAGCACTGCAGTAAGGATAATTTTACCTGCATTATTATATTCTAAAGTGGAACAACAAAAACAGCCACAAAGACAGACTGTAAGAATTGGAAACCAGAATAAATTCTCGTAAGAAGGAAAATATGAAAGCATACAGTAATCCTCTATCTTCTAATAAAGTTTAATGTTCTTCTTTCTTAGACCCTGAGAAATAGACTCTTTTGACCTTATGAGTAGAGTAAAAGTATGTGGATACAATGATTAGAGAAAGCATGATAGACCAGTGTTAGTATAGTTGGGTAAGGATTAAATCAGTGCTTTGGATATACACTATGTTAGAGCTAGACAAAAAAATATTCAAAAAATCTCTAGCTGGTCTAGACACCATAAAATAATTTACAGAATGGTACTTAACCACTAAGAGCTTGAGTAGAAAACCTTAGAGATAAACTAGAAAACAAGTCATTTTTAAGGCAGAGATCATGTTATATTTTGGAATAATACTGTTAAGGAATGATAAGAATTAAATGAACAATTAGTCAGTAGTCAGAAATGGACAACTGATTTGCCCTGAGAAGTGAAATTAGGAATAGTAAATTACTTCAAGTAGAAAAGCCACAGAGAATACAAAGGAAGTGCTCCTAGAAGAAGACAGGACTCAAGAAAGTAACTTCACAGAAATTTCATCATTCAATTAGATGGTTCCCATGGCCTGATAAAATAAAAAGTTAAAAACTTGATGATGTGGCCCTCCCTGGGGGTGCAGCGGGTTAAAGCACTGTACTAAGAAGCTAAAGCCACTTCCGCATGAGTTCGATCCCTGCCTGCCCCGGAGGTGACCACAGGGCGCAGCAGACCTCTCCTGACCCGCCCGCTGCTCCCCTCAGCTGTGTACTTCATCCATCTGCCTGTTCTGCTCCCAACTCTGTCTCTGGTGAATTCTCTCACCCTCTGCATCTCTGGCCTGTACCCCAGTTCTGTATGAATAAATAAATAAATCTTTAAAAAAAACAAAAAACCTGATGATGTGATACAATACCCAATGCAACAATAGTGAAGGAAAGGATAAACAGCTGGGACTACATCAAGTTAAAGAGCTTCTGTACAGCAAAAGAGACATTACAAAAACCAAACAGACATCCCACTGATTGGAAAAAAAAATTTCTCACACAATACTAACAATAAAGGGTTGATCACAAAGATATACAAAGAATTGATGAAACTCAACAAAAATAAACAACCCCATCAAACAATGGACTGAAGAGCTAAAAAGACACTTTTCCAAGGAGAAAATGCAGAAGGCCAACAATCATATGAAAAAATGTTCCCTTGTAATAAGGGAGATGTAAATTAAGACCGCAATGAGGTACCACCTACCCTAGTGAGAATGGCACATCTTCAAACAACTAGCAACAACAAATGTTGGCGAGGATGTGGAGAAAAAGGAACTCTCCTGCACTGCTGGTGGGAATGCAAACT